CCAGATTGTCATAGCAAAGTCGGAATTGACCCTTTTGGGTTGTTTTTTTAGAAATAGCCTTTGTGCACAGCCAGCTTTGTACTCTTCTAAGTTCAAAAAACTGTCGTTCATAAAATGCGTTCCACAAATTCGAATATCTGGGTTGTGCTGTTCGTAAATAAATCTTAACCAATGATTCCTAAATGCATCTACTTCCGGAAGGCCAAATAAAGTGCTTTTGCTTTCGCACCGAAACACAGCATCTCACTGACATGGCTGCATCAACATGACTGCTGTTCCTGAAACCACGCCTTCTTTCTTTGCGTGCACATTTGGGTGGTATTATGCTAATATTTCCACATAGTGACCTAGATATGTGGGGGCGTGTTAGAACAAGCCGTTTTAGGTAGGTGTGGCTGACTCTTAACTTTTATAAAGAATATCTCTTTGGATTTGAGACTTTCGTCTTTGCAACTTTACAGATCTTCTTTATGCACCAAGAGCTTGTAACACTCCAAAGAGAAAGGAAAACTTGAAATCGCATCATATGACCCCTTTAAAGTAGCCCAATTCCATGGGAAAACCGCAGACTTGGCAACACTGCTTGGTGCCCCTTTACGTCCTATGTCCTAGAGGGACATCTAGTGGTTACGCAATGTAATAGCTACATTTATTTGTACACGTCTCTATTGGTAGTGTATCTCACCTGTTTGTGAGTAGTGCATCCAGTTGAGGATAACCTCCGGTGCTCTGTACCAGCGGGTCACAACATAACCTGTCATCTCTGAATCTGCCTGACGTGCAAGTCCAAAGTCCAAGATCTGAACACAAAATTTACAGTTTTTACACTTGATTTTTGAAACTCCAGCTATTTAGGAAAGTTGATGTAGACATTCATTTAAATTGTGCTATAGACCAAGTTGGTTTAATACCTTCAATTCACAGTCCTGGTTCACTGCCAGATTTCCTGGTTTGAGATCCTGAAGAAAGACAACCAAAGTAGACATTTTTACAGTAAATACAACTAATACATGTACATCTAAGGTAGTAAAAATGCTCCTACTTATTATATATAGCCTGCTTTTAAAAGAAACAATAACGCACACCTCCATGCATTTTCTCAGACATTATAAAAGAGAAGAGATGGACAGAGAATGAATGAACGTCAGGGTTGAATGAAGTAGTCACCCAACCCCCTCTGTGCATCTATTTAAACTCTCTGAGGTCACTTACCCTGTGAATGATTCCGGCTGAATGAATGTACTGTGGAAAAAGAGCAAGAGCAAGAGATTTATAGATGCTATAAAGAAGGACATAATGTTTCACAAATGTGATTGTGTGTGTATCTGTGCCTAACCTTCAGACCCCTCAGTATCTGATAGACCAGAAACTGCACCCTGTCCTCCGATAAGCTCTCCATCTTCATTAGCTTTCCCAAATCAGTGCCCATAAACGGCATCACCAGGTAACTGAGAGTAAAAAGACTTTAACTGCTGTTTCATTGTTGATCTGACAGAACTTTGAACAATTGCTAATGATCTGAATTACATAATGTTAGTTAATATTTTAAATTTTGTTGACAACAAAATCTATTTTTTTTTAGCTTTTTAGTAGCATTAGAACTGAAAGAATTGACTCACAAATCCTGAAATCTGTCCAACAAAATTTCCGAGGTAAAAACGTCCAGCAGTCCAATAACCTGCCCAGTTGGTTAGAATTAAATATTAGGGTGCACGAAAAACATGAACAAAGTAAATACATGCCAGACTTCTTACAGAGAGGCGAACAAGGGAAAAAAGCAACCTTATGAGATTATTAATTAATGACACAGTTCTTTAATAATGTAAATGGTAAATGTAGATGTTGGTAACATACATTCTCATGTTTCATGTGCTTGAGCAGTCGCAGCTCTCTGTAAGCGCGTTTGGCGAACAGTCTGGACTGGAACGGCCGGTGGAGCTTCTTGATGGCCACCCGCACTCCTGTCTTATGGTCATTGGCTGAACTTTGGATATATTGAGAAGAGTAAGATCAGTGCTTGACAATTGTCTTTATAACCATCTACAAGACCATTACAAAGTCCACTACTCCATTACATAGTCACTGCATGTTGTTTGCATTTTTCTACCTCTACGTCTGGACATGAAGATGTGGTTAGGAAAGAGGTTGTGGACATAGCTTAATGTGCAATAGGTTCATTACTCAATCTGAAACTTGAGCAATTTGGACAAGTGAAAAATCTATTAAAGTGGAAAGCTTGCCGAAGACCAACATAATGGCTTTAATGCGGCAACTTCTGCTTGTTAAACGCAGACAATGGCATCAGCAGGGAGGCTTTGTTATCTGACCTCTTGTCTTGCCAAGGAAGAAAAGTTTACAGAGGTTTCACAGTTTCACCCAGATAAGCCACGAGGGCTTTAGTTGAAGGAGAATTAAGAAAACAGATGGAAGTGTATGATGCAATTAAAAAAAAAGAAAGAAAGCCAATCTAACTATTGCACAGCTTCCTTGAGAAATATCCTCCTATCTACTGACGTTACAGAGACAGAAGACTAGCTTTGTCTCAGCGTGCATTTGAAGTCATTTTAACCGAATTAAACAAAAGCTGAAGCAGTTGAAATGTTGTGACTACAACGTTTCAGTAGCCACAAAAGTTAACTTTTTAAGTCGGCTGAAGTGCACTAAACAGACGCTCGCGAAAACTTGCGTTAGTCAGCGGTAGCCATAGCAACAGTATGCCGCTCGAACGAAAGTACTGCTATTTCTTACAAATTTACAATAAATTCATATACGACATGTGGGCAATACCACAAAAATATTACTAAGAACGCTGCGTTGTGTAAGACGACTCTTTGCACTAAATTCCGAAAACTACGGAACAGGAACTTTTTAAAAGTAACTAAATAATTCGGAAACGCTATAGAATAATGAACTTTTAAATACTAGTAATGTACTTACCAGACCGTTCCGTATGCTCCGGTTCCTATCTGAATGAGATCTCTGTATCTCTCCGGCACGTCCCAAACGGTTCTGTTTATCTCCCCGCGATAAAATCCTGCCCTGGTTCGCTGTGACATCCTCAGAGAGTGTTGAAAGTAATGTCTTTCAAATAAGAAACTATCCTTTTTACGTTCTCATTGTTTGTCGGATATTTTGATAAAGAAACTCTCAGAGAACGAGCGCAACTTGGAGAGCACCGGTAAATGTGGGGGCGTAAATGTTCAAAGTTTCCAGTTACGCACGGGAGACTCGCTGGAATAAACATTTAATCATCGTAAAGCAGCCTTTTCAGATTGTTGTCGGATCTGTAAATGAGTTTTAATTGACTCCTTCTAGTTTTAAAATACTTAACACGTTGATGGGTTTCAGGAAAATGGTTGATTTTATTAAAAGAGATGGTGAGGGGGTCGTGGATACATATGCTAAGTGGACTGGCCAACTTACAAAAGAAGAAAGACCTATCCACTCCCACTGAAACAGCTGAAGGCAGTTTTTATCTTTGTTAAAAGGCACGCAAAAGCCCAGAAGGAGGGTGCAGATACATAAGGGCAAAGTGCTAAGGCAACATAACCAAGACATCTGAACAACATCAGAGAAGTGACACTTGGTTTGTAGCAAGTAGTTAGTATATGTTTTACACTGGACTGGACTGAAAGCAGGGCAGTTGTTGATAACGTTCATTTACATAAAGTGTAAATGTGAGAAACCAAACCCATTTCCCCCATTCAACTTCAGAGGATGCTGACTAGTTTCATGACATCAAAGTAGTCATTCAGGACCTTCCAAAACATATATTGAGAAATAATTGTGACACTAACACTTCCTGAAATGCAGTTTCACTCACTCACACACATTCATTCTGCTTCTGTTCCCCAAATACATTTTAAATGTTGTGTAATTCTTTTCACTAGACAGAAGAAAAATTCAGAAGACTGAATTGAAATTGCTTTCTCAAAAAAAAAAGGAACATTATATTTTACACAAAGAAAATCAGAATTGTTGCGCAAAATCTTTTTCTTTGACATTGACATTATTTTCATAAATACATATTTTCTTATATTCCTAAAATCGTATATATTTGACACTTGTATAAATTAAAGGCAGTACGGCAAATGTATAATTACTCAATCACTCACTTATTTATTATTATTATTGTTGTTGTTATTTATTTATTTGCATTTTATCATAATGGAAATTGAGAGAAATTTTCTTAATTGTAATGAAAATAATGTCACAATGCAAACAATCATAATGGTCATAAAAGTTTCTTTTTTACATGCAAGATAAAAAAATTATTTTTAATTTTAGGGTGAATTATGACCCAGATGTACTTAACAGGTTTTGTGATAGATATGGATATTAACAAATGACAACTGACTTGTACTATAGAAATGGACGCGGAAATTTATGTATTACAATAAATGACATCGAGCCACATACTGGTCCTTTAAATAACCTGAGAAAAGAAAATCATGTCCAGCATAATGTTGAATTATCCGGCACTGTTGTAGTGCAGCATAAACTAACAGTTAACCTTTAGTTCAACCTTTTGTTAAGAAAAGACCATATTTGTGGCTGGGGTGAGTTCTCTCACCACCATCTGTTTTCTGTAACTAAACAACTATTAATCACTTCATTTTCACCTGAGGTGTGATTCCATGCGAACACCCATGATGCATTCGAGGTATGTTATATTCAGATAGCCTTGCAGATGCAAAACGAGTAAAGACAGATTATGTAACTGATTCAGTTTTATGCAGAGACTTTTGTACATTGATGCATATATGAACTTTTTAAGACACACATCCCACTCCATGTCCAACATTGTAAACATATTTTTCTCCTCCTCCTGCTTAGTTTGTTTTGGTCTCATATGAAAGACACCATACCCTGCTTCACCTGTCTCACATCAAATATAAAAAACACTCAAAACACACAACTCTGCATACATACACACACAACATGCACCTTGTAATATTAATACATTGTGTCTATGTTCAAACAATACCGGTCGTGTTTTGCTCTTAATTAAGTGTGTATGAACATACACCCACATACAGGAAGGGCGTCATGCTTTGGAAATACATAGTCATGACTGCAAGCTGTTCATACAGTATGTCCACCAGTCCTGTAGTTCGTGTGTTTGAAAGACAGACAGTGGTGAGGGCGGCATCTTCATGGATTGTAGTTAGGCTCAGTTTTATTGTTCAACCTGAAGATTTTCAGGTTTATTGGGAGGATCTTTAAAATTGCTTACTTCCTCAAACACCAGCTCTGTAGAGGGAGAAAGAGAGAGCGAATTTCCATAGTCACTCACTGTACAATTTCAAAATATTAGTTTATTATATTTTAATATTAGGATTTAAATATAAATCAATAAAGACAAAAAGTGTGACAAAAATATGAAATGGTTAATTTTATATTACAATGTATCAATTTGCGAGATTATGTTCACAATGATTTTCTGAATGAACAAAAATAGCTTCAGCGCGGTGGTGTTTTAGTGTAAGTTTACAACATTTAATGGAAGACTCCCTCTCACCCTTCCACTCCTCCAGCGTGCAATCCTTGCTCTCAGGGGTCTGATCATATGGAGGCGCCTCCGGTTCATCTTCAGGATCGTGGTATTGGGAAAAGTATGGATGGCACAGAGCTTCACTGGCTGAAATCCTCCCATCACAGTCTAATACTAGCATTTTTTTTAACAAATCAACCGCTGTCAAAGAGGGAGTATGGGGTTAGGAAAGAGTTGAAAAGGGGTAAAAAAAAGTTTTTTTTAACTTTTTTGTTTTAAATATTGTTTGATATTGATAATTGCTTGTACAGCAAGGATGATAACAATAACGATAACTATAGAGATAAAGTTTTAAAAATCATTCCACAACTATAGCAATAATGATACAGCGAATGGTATCTTTGGAACTTTTAGAACTTTTTTTTTTTTTTCCTGCTGATGAACGCTAAAAACACTGACAGCCAATCAGAATCCAGCAGACTTTAAAAAGCTCTAGCATTCAAAGCGGCAGATGGCATAAATGTAGCTCGCATTAATATGGTGCGTGGGTGCTAATATAGTTATCATTCTTAATGTGAGCAGGCCTTTAGTCTTACCCAGTGGATTTGCTCCTCTAAATATCTTCGCCAGGTCCTGCTGAGGCATGTGTGGAAGAGACTGGATGTACTTCTGAGCCTGGATGCATAGTAAAAAAAAAAAACTTAAACTATGGTTTGAATTTCAGTCAATCTATCATCCATTGAGTTGCATGTACTATTGTAGTATAGTAACATTGTTAGAATTAATTAATAAATTAAACCAATAACTGAACCGTTGGTCTCTTCTCACATGTTCAGAGGATATCTTCTTCAAAACATCAGGCGTGGGAGTGCCTACAACCTCCATGATTCTCTTTAGCTGATCTATATCTGAACAAATTATGTTAAAGATTATATAGATCCCCTCAAGAGAGCTTAGAGTATATTCAGCTGAAAGTATAAGAAAGCCTGGCCTATAGAGAGATACCCATCTGATGCCTCCATCTTTGGAAACTGATTTCTAGTTCCTTACATTGTTACTATAATTTAATTTGAACAATTTAGGCTGTGCTTTCGTCACCTGCCTTACAGGAAGCAAGACTCACTCAAAAACCACACATAAGCACACTAAGAGGTGGTGTAAGTGGCTTTTATGAAGGAAGGATACAATCGTTGCCAGGAAACAAAACCTTCCCCTTCAGAAGTTCACCCATGATGCATCCAACAGACCAGATATCCACTGTAAAACAGATTTAATCGTATTTGATCAACCAGTTGCACAGAACATAAATACAGATGTTGTATCTATCTATCTATCTATCTATCTAAAAACACAAGAATTTAAGGTGCATGTTAAGATTGAAGACTTTTTAGGTGAAGCTTGTTTTACCTGTCTGGTTGTAATGCATCCAGTTGAGCATGATCTCAGGTGCTCGGTACCAACGCGTCGCTACGTATCCCGTCATCTCATCATCTGTTTGTCTGGCTAAACCAAAATCCAGGATCCTGAGTTCACAATCTTCATTCACCGCTACATTGCTTGGCTTTAAGTCCTTCAAACATGCGTACAAATTAATTTCTTTTAACATTATATGATGTAGCATAGTGTTAAGACTAGGTAAAATCAACTTTTTTCAATCAGAACAGTGTCATTCTTTTGTAAAGAGGGTTAAAAGGAAAAGTACTTTTGTGGCCTGTAAAGTGGACACTAAACAAAAACTGAGAAGGAGCACTCACTCTGTGGATCAGCCCAGCTGAATGGATGTACTGTTTGTAAAAGAAGAAAAAAAATCAAGCCATGAAAAAAAACTGTAGGACAGCGTAAAAGAGACATAGAGACACTAAAAATTGCAATTCAGAACTGATTCTAACATCTGTTTGTGTCCTTTTGTATGTGCTTTAAAAAAAAAACAGAACTGAAAATGTACCTTAAGGCCCCGGAGAAGCTGATAAATGAGGAATTGTACATGTTCATCTGAAAGTCTCTGAAATTTGACAATGTTGTTGAGATCCGCTCCCATCAGGTTGGTCACAAGATAGCTAGAAAGACGGAGACAGTCTTGGCTTATATCCGATCTAGTGCATTTAAATCATCACACACTTGCAAATAAAAACAAATGTTGTTTGATAATTAGTCGACTGCAAGTGCAGATGGGTTTAATCAAACCAAAGTGCCATTTTAGTTTCACAGACATCTGTAAAGCTATTTTATGCACTCTCAAATGAAGATGCAGTCACCGGGCAGACACTCACACCTCATTGAATTCTTCAAGAGAAGCTGCCGGAGTGAAAACGTCCAGCAGTCCGATAACCTGGATTACAGAAAAAAATAACACGAGTGACTTAAGTGGCTCTAGACTTTGTTGTTTGAACAGACCTAACAATCTCAGTTCAGATGTTTGATGATTGTCTAACAGTTGTATGAGTTTTGTCGGTGCAGGACTGGACATTTGGCATTTGTTTGCTCCCTTGCATCGATGTGTTTGCATGCGACTTACATTCTCATGTTTCATGTGTTTGAGGAGTCTCAGTTCTCTGTATGTTCTTCTGCTGTGGATGAGAGACTGGAAAGGCCTGGAGAGCTTCTTGACGGCCACTTTCTGACGAAGGCGCACATCATATGCTGAGCTAAAGAGGGAAACAGAAATGTTTGGAATTTTTTGATCCAACTCAAAACTAAAGTTTCTGCTGACATTGAGACTACAGACATTTGCCATGGTATGTTCCTGTTAAATTTGACCTTTTGTTCAAAATGGTATCACTTCCTCATGGCAGTGGACCATATTAAACACTCTCTGAATGAAAACTCTATGTTCTTTATTGAATGAAATGCTCTGGAGAATCACTTCTGGCATGAGTGCAAGACTCAGAACTAATTAATAAATACATAGTAAAAGGGACATTTGACTCACCATTCAGGGGCTCTAGAGTCATATCAGTTGAGATTGATTAGAAAGGCAAATTTTATAGTTTCAGAAGGCCAATTGAGAAATTAGGTGGGAAAAGCAAAAGAAATTGAGTCAGTGGATAAAGTAATAATTCCTGCAGTGTCTCTGTGTTATGAATGCACTTTAAATAAATCAAACCCCCTGGCAGGTCACTGAAGTCTGTTAAAGACAAGAGCACCCAACCCCCATTTGGGATGCTCCCATTCCTTGTTTCAACCCCTCCACACCCCAGGTCTGCCCTGCCCCCTTCCTTTAAAATGAATCAGCTCTGCTGTGAAGAAGTCAAATAATCACACAATAGAAAAGGGCTTAACGTGAACAATGCAAATTCACAGCTCATTTGAGTTAGAAAGTGTTTGTGGGAGT